TATATATATATATATACACACACACACACACACAAAGTCAAAATGAGATATGCCCTGAGAATGACCATGGTAATATTCTGTGGAACTTCCACATACAGACAGACAAACGGGTGATGGGCAACCAACCAAGAAATAGTAGTGGTGGACAAGCAGAGGAAGACAGTCGTAGTGTTCGATGTAGCGATACCAAGTGATAGCAACATCAGGAACAAGAAACACAAGAAGAATGAAAAACAATGCAAATACCAGGGCTGAGAGACAATTTGGAAAGTTTAGGCAACAGTGGTCCACATAGTAACTGGAACACTTGGAGCAGTGACCCAGCAGATCAGCAGATTCCAGGAATGACATCTGAGATATCTGTGCAGAACCGCACAGTCTTGGGAAATGGAACGATACTGTGCAAGACCTTCAGGCTCCCAGGCCTTTCGCAGAAATGAGGGAGTGATTCTTCTTGAGCTTTGGTGGAGGTTGGTGGATGAATTGAAACAGAAGGCACTGATGCAGGGCAGAAGCAGCACTGATATATGTGACACACAGTTTAAGTTGCCCTCCGTGACGTAGCTTGAAGCCCTTTGTTTCATTATCTGGTCGTAGTAATCGTTAGTACTTCCAAAGTTATGTGTGAAATTCTTTGAGTCTATTTTCTATCATCTATTTTTTGATGTTAAACATGTGTGAGAAGTAAGCATAGATTCTGTTTGCCAGTTGGTGATTTGAAGTTTCAGTGAGTCCTGTAAGAACCTGTATTTTTGAAAGATCAAGGTCAGTTTGATGAATGTCTAATTCACTTCAGATGCTGTTAAGCTCTAAGTTATATCTGAGCTGATACTTTTAACTTATTTCCGAGTGTCTGATGTAATCAATTGAAGGTCAAACCATAAATGTGGATTCAGCCAGTGCATCTGAACTGCTAACCTCGCACATGTGTGGATGCAGGCTTGAGAGTGTGAAGTTGTGTGTGTGTGTGTGTGTGTGTGTGTGTGTGTGTGTGTGTGTGTGTGTGTGTGTGTGTGTGTGTGTGTGTGTGAGAGAGAGAGAGTATTTTCTCTATTGCCAGCTTGTCACCTTTGGGGGGAACATAGCGGCTGCATTTCAGGAGTCGATGCTGCTGATGCAGCTGCTGGTTGAAATTCAATAGTGGTTGAGCTTTGCACCATGCGCTAGCCTCTCTGTGTGCCTGTGTGAGGGTAATCCCTCCTGGCCATTTGGATCCTAGAACGACTGTATGTCTATGGGGAAGCTGTCATATCTTATAGAGTCTGGAAAATGATGTCTCCATTTTTCTTTTCGCCTAGTTTTTCCTCTCATACATTTTCTTCCACTCCCTCTAACAGCCAGCCACAGAAAAGCAGAAGCTGCAGTCTTCAGCTTATGCTTATTTCTATTGTATTCTATCCTATTTTTTCCCCATTCTTGAGCCTTTTCTCTTTTACTTTCTCTACTTAACATAGATTACACAGTTTTTATTATGTCAGCTAAAAGCTATAGTTGTATTTAGCTTCAATGTACAGTATAAGTACCATTACTGTGAATGCTGTTTGAATAATCATAAATCTCTGTGAATATTCAACCTACTCAAGTTAAGTTACTTTATTTTTACAACACATTTAAATACATCAGATATTAAGTAGCTGAGACATAATAAAAAATATATTTTACACTATATTTTATTCAGTTTTATAATGTGTTTTCAAAATAGTCCAGTTGAGGGACTTTATGGGCCAACAAAAGTGAAAACCAACCATCTGGTAAGCAAGCCCTTGGTGACAGTGGGAAGGAAGAACTTTTAACAGGAAGAGACGTCAGGCAGAGCAAGGCACAGAGAGGATCCATGATCTGCCTGGACCTGTTCAAGGGTGTGGGGGCAGAAATTACAAAGATGCATTGCAATTTTAACAAGATATTCTAGAATGCCAATGTGTTTTGTTTAAAATTTCCAGCAGTAATTATCCCTTCCTGTTTCCTGACTGTGTCACTGTTTCCTGTCCTGTTGCTGTCCATGTCACTCCAGGCTACTTGTATGTCACCTGCCTCATTCAGAACTGCTCGGACAAAATGGTGACAGCACAGTTCCTTGGAAAAATTGATCACAACTCGCTGCTGGTGCAGGATGACTACGTATTTGTCAAGGTAAAAGAGGAATACATGTGCATGAATGTTTTTATTTTACACTTTGAAACACTGTGCTATATAAATGTCACTTATCTTCTCTCATATTCCAGACTACTGCCATTCTATTCAAACTAAATTTTAAATCCTGTCACGTATCTACTCCATTTTGTCTGATGCATTTGTTAGATTCCACAGCACCTAATATTCTCAACATTACATCTGACTGCTGCATTAATGAGAAGACAGGAATTGCTCCTCTGATGGTTTCAAATTCTATTTTAATGTCTCGTGTTGCAGGTTATTGTTTTGTCTTTGTTCTATTTGAACTCGTTCAGCTTTTCACACAGTAGACAGCATTTTTGTACACATTTAATAAATTCTATTTGTAGAGCTGGACGATAGAATGATAACGATATGTATCGCGATATAACTTTTACTCGATAGAGAAATTAAGCTATCGCGATAGACCTCGCCGCTCTTGTCCTTTTTTTTTTTTTTTTTTTTTAAAAAAAAAAAAAAAAAAAGGTCAGCCAATCCAAATTAAGTAGCGCAGAGCCGAACCAATCACAGCCGCAGCGTCATGTCGCGTGACTTGTTACGTACAGCACAAGTGCCAAGCCGAAGAGAAAACAGATGATGGTTCCAGTGCCGGAGAGATTGTCGAACGGAAGAGCCATAGAAGCTCCGTAGTGTGAAGGTATTTCGGCTATTTCAAGTCTGACAAAAAACAGAGTAGCGTTCACTGTAAATTGTGCCGAAAGCAAGTCTGGAAATACAATAAACTGGTGCATGCGTCACACTGTGCGCCACGTTATTGTTTCGGTGAAATGAATTTCTACAATACTGTTACTGTTAATTCTACTCTCTGCAGTGTTTAAATGCTTACACATACACACAGTTACTGTCTGTCCACACATACGACTCGGTTCTGCTTCTATGCCGCAGCTTTGTTTACTTTTTCCCACCGAGGCTTCTAGACTTCTGATTGGCCAACATTTCAGCACGGTTAGGAATCTAGCGCCACCTGCTGCTTTGGCATGTTCATAGCAGCGTTTTCCTTCATTTCTGCCTTTATGTGTGGACGGGATTATTTTTTAAAACGAAAACGGAAAATCTCCGTTTTCAAAAATACCCGTGTACGTGTGGACGTAGCCTCAGTCTCTGACTGGAAGCGCTAATTCGTCATTCGGCTTTTGTCAGACTAAAGTAACTGTTAAAACTGTTTGAAAAGCTAAGCTATACAACAAGGAGAGATTGAGAATTTCCTTTTAGTTCTCAGTTTATTTGATATTGACAAAAGTTAGTCAGTTTTGTCTGTTCTTCTGTAAAACAAACTAAGATTTATTTTTAGAATTAATACTTTATTTCTAAGTGGAATTGACAATTTAGTCTGTTTCGTTTGTTCTATTTTGAAACTTAAACGCTTTAGCGGCTGCCTTTTGTGTAGTTTGCAATATTTGCCTTTATTTATCTGAAAAAGTCTCATGTTCCTTAAGTACATCTACCCTGTTGAATTTATTATGGGAAATAAATATTTAAATAAAAACAAGCTGCTGATAATTTCACATTTTACTTGTGAGCAACGGCACATTTAAATCTTACAAATATAGTTATTTGGCTTATATCGTGATAGATATCGTTATCGCCTGAAATGAAAAAAACATATCGTGATATGAAAAAATCTCATATCGCCCAGCTCTAACTATTTGTGTTGTGGGAGAGGAAATGTGTACACCTATGCATTTGCATGATCATATAGTCCATCTGTTCTCCTCTGCCTGTCCAATTCAGGAAGTCTGGACCCTATTCCAGCCCTGCAACCGCAAACAGGTTTCAGGGCTAACACAGAGAGACAGACAACCATGTTGATTCACATTCACACTTATGGGCAATTTAGAATCACTCAATAACCCTTTGAACTGTGGAAGGAAGCCAGAGTACCTGGAGAGAACCCACAAAGACATGGGAAGAACATGCAAACAGCAACCTGACCACTAAGCTATATGATATGGAAAACATGAGACAGGAAATGCAGGGGTGAGCTAGAAAACAGTAACTGAACTTCAAAAGGAGGATTATCCATTGGTCAGTCAACCGTAGAGGCCATCATTTTATAGATGGATTAAAAATTGAACAATACATTTTTCTCAAGTATTTTTCTTATCACAGGGTGTTCAAGATGTGATACTGATAAATTGCATAGCTTAGCCAAGCTTAAACATTATTTTAAGCTAGAGTGTTATCAGAATTATAATCATAAAGTCTGCATTACAGTCAAATGGAGATTTCAGGTTATGCATAGGTCTCGGGAAAAAATTATGATTGATATTATGATCTTTTCCCGAGCTTAGTGAAATAGTGAAAACTTCTATTTTCTTCCTCTTTTTTGCCAGAAACAAAACTTGTCTCCTGACTGATACATTCTTTGTACTGTACGTCTCTAAAGTGGACCCAAAATCTAGGCAGCCTCCAAGGGTCGAGGCAGAGGCACCTATACTGTGGCTTTTGTTGCATTTACTTTCCAGCACTCTGTAGATAGATACTTTAATGATCCCACGAGAGAAACTGTTGCATTAAATCAGCAGAATAAAAGAATAAAATTACTATAGTCTACAATAAAAAAGCAATAAACAACAAAGTTAAAGTCTTATACTATGAGATAGTTCTATATACATAATACTAGTAAGGAAAAACTGAGCAAGTTTTTTTTTTTTAAAACCTGCATCTCCCCAGTTATTTCTCTTTCAGCATTTGTGTATATGTTGTATCTGTCAGTGTATTTATTCAGTTGCAGCTGTGTTTGCGCTTACAGCTGAATTTGCAGCTTTATGTCTGTTTTACTGATAAACTCTTGCTGCCCAGATAACATGCAGTGCTGTCACTTGAAATGGAAAAATAATTTCTATTCGTGATAGTGTGCGGAATTAATCTTGTCTATAATTGATTTGCCATGCAGTACAGTACTGCACACTCTGCAGTGGCCAATAGTTCAATTCTATTTGCATGGAGAATAGACATGAGCTGGTATGCTAGAGGACAATCTCCACAGTGGGACAAAGTTGCTCTCTCTGGGTGTTGTCCCCCTATGTGTAAAGTTATGTGTGCATGAGTGTTTGCATCTGTGAGAAGAATGAAAACTCATCAGGTCACTGTAGACTGGCCCTTAAGGGATAATCCTCCTAATATTTCAAGCATTACATACAGATATCAGGTTTGAAGAACAACACCTCAAACAATCTTTACTAGCAGTTCTTACGTGTTTACCTATAATGAAACCCAACACCTGGCAGTTCTGTGAGTGATGTATGTGTGCGAACATTTACTGCATGTGTCACTTTCCCTTTAAAGTAGTTGTTGATACTTTCATCCCCAACTTTATAAGGTGAGGTCTGTTCCTTGATCATTAATATGAAAATTATCATAACCATTGATCAACAACTGATCAAAACCCATTGATCAAAGGCCATGAATACCATTAACAGAGAGAGTTGGGGAATGGCTGCAATCACAGCTTTGTAAGATGGCAAAAGATGGTTTCAGTTATTGTGCAAATGTAGTGTTTATACGGCTGGGGAAACCTGCAGTCAACTGAGAGTGAAGAAGTCACTTGGATGAGTGATGAAACGTTTCTTCCACTGAAAACGCTACGTCCAGATGAACAGAATCAACCTTTTGTGATTGACTTACCTGGATGATTGAGCATGCATCAAGTACAATACAATACAATACAGTACGATACAAAGTGCTCTGACTGGTCACCTTTAATCTATGAGGTCCTAATTAGAATAATCTCAAACCTAACTGAATAACTATGTAGATTTGAAAGCGTCCAGAACAGCAAATAATGGAATACCTTTTGGAAAATTAGTTTTCAGAGCTCCACACTTTGAGAATTAATGTAAAAAGTGTGTTGTGGATTATGATACCTAAACACAAGTCTCTATACTGAGTACAGGAACTAAAACAAGGTACATATAGACAAAGAAAAAAACTGGAGGTGATGATAGACCAAATACATCTTGTCATTGCCAGCTTTTCATGTGCTTTGTCAGTCTTTTTTTAAATTTTTTCTCCTTTCAGTGTGCTGTTATGTGGTGAACATTTCCCGTGAGGTTTTCAGTTTTTTAAAGCCCTTCATTGTTCATTAAGTTCACCTGTTTGTTTTAACCCTTCCTTCAGTTGGTTGGTTGTTGTCTAGTAACTTCTTGTTCACATGTTCCTTACTGTGCTCTGTTCTTTTATTATGATTTTGGGTTTCATTTAGTTTGCTGGTTTCCTGTTTGTTATTTTAAGTGAAGGCGTTTTCAACAACTGGCAGCCTGCAGTCCTAATCCTTTCAGCTGCTGGGGGTTCACCCAAAACATTTCTTTCTGAAACTGACAAGTTTATTGATTTGCAATGAAGTACTGAACCTCTGACATTCAGCTATTCACACAAGTTTCACAAACACAAGAAACTTTGGCTCTTTGTATAAATTTTGTCCAAAAAAAAAAAATCTTAATGGTATAAACAGATCTTCGGGGTACTTTTCCAACATTAAGGCACTACATAAATATGCAGAGTCAGAGCTGAGAATGCAGCTCTCATCCCACTCTGCCAGCCGTCCTTTAGAAAGTGATTCCTTTTGAAACCTCAGTCCATGACACTTTCTTCAGTAGCTCTCATTTTTAAAAAATGGCTTTTTTTGTTTGATCCCTCTGCAATGCTTATCATTAAAGAAAAGTGGAACTTACCTGCTCCTTTCAATCACAAGCAATGGCAATAATCACAGCTCAGTCTGAACTCAGATGACAGAGACTGACATCTCCATGAAGGGAAAAAAGGCAAAGTCAAAAATAGAAGCACTGAATGCAAAGTTATAAACCTTTCCTTTTTATTTTGACAAAGAAAAAATGTTTTTTTTTAAACACAAAAAAAAAAAGGAGTTTCAGTGCTGCTCACCTGTTTCAGAACATGGTTAACTCATTTCTGAGCCCGTCACTTGGGATATGACACATTCAGCTCTTGTTCCAATCCACTGTCAGTCACTAGTGCGGTCTCTTTTCTCCCAACTTCCTCTGCTAAACTGTAGAATCACCTGTTTGAGTATTCTGGTTCGTGCTATGTGAGCTTTTTCATTGTCTGAGCACTCAGCTGGACGACGGCATGATTCAGCCTTTTACCCATTTGTGAGTTGAATGCCAAGGTCTGTGCAATGCGCAGGAGTTTCTTTGCATTTACCTATCAGCACAGGGTGACTCACCGGCAACAGATGGTGAACTGTGCACCTCCACCTCCACAATTAGTCAGCTGGACATTTGCAGATGTTGAACATTTGATTGTTTTTCTGCAGGACAATATTTAAATGACTGGATGAATTCAGCCTTAATATGTCTCTTGATGCTGTGTCACTCAAATTGTTTTCTCTTTCACTCTTGCCTCGTTTTTAATCTCAGTGCATTCAGCAGCTTTCCCTTTAAAGTAATATACTTATGGGTCGTATGTCTATAAAAAATTTAAAACTGTTTGACTATATTATAACTGTAGAACTGTTAGACCGTTATTCATGCTGTTGCTGTTGTTTTTGCTAATTTCCCAGGTCACCACAGGCAATCGGACCAAGCACTATGTGTCCTACCGACGGAATGAATTTGTCCAGATGAGGTTTCCTAAGTATGCCTTACCAAAGGTAATGGACGAGAAAATTGGTGCATCTTTTGCTAATATTGATTTAAGGTTGACACAGTTTGCTCCCTGAAAGACTTCTCAGTCTGAATTATGCACGCATCCCTCAGGGATCAGTGTTTTGAACACTTTCATTTATAGTTGTTTAGCTAAGAATAATTACAAGAATTCAGTGGAATCAGATTTATTTTTACTTTTGACATTAAATGTGTAGGTTCTGTAAAGTCATTACTGATGAAACCCACACCATTAAGTGAACTGCAGTTTGTATTCTGATATTTGCACACACTTATGCTCACATCCCATGTGTGACCAGGTTCACAACAGTATTTCATGATACTCCATCGCTAGAGCCCCGCACTATTGTATCTTGTACAATATTTGAGGGACTAGTGTACACCATATATACTCGTGTATCAGCACACACGGTTACAACATTTACTTGGAAATGATGAATTTAAATAAGACAGTACCAGAAAAGTTTGGGATACTCACCTATGTGAGTTCATTAAATTAGACCAGACTGGCCTACCACTCCTTGTACACACCACATTACTTATACATATTTGCTGTGTGATTACTTGATTTACTGGTGAAGTGTAAAGTGTGTAAAAAGTGTAAAGTAAAGTGTGCGTGTTAGTCCCCATAGGGAAATAGTTCCTCTGCATTTAACCCATTCACCCAGTGAAGCAGTGGGCAGCCACCAATGCAGCGCCCGGGGAGCAGTGTGTAGGGACGGTACCTTGCTCAGGGGTACCTCAGGGTAGCGGTTCAGTGGAGTCTAACCCCCGACCTTCCGATCATGGGGCCACCACTCTACCTACTGAGCTATCCCTGCCCTGGTGGAAGTACTCTTGAAGTACCCTTTCACATTACACATACGTTACTATGTTTTATCCTATAACTGAGGATTTGAAAACAGCCATGTGACTAACTAGGTCAGTCTCATTGACCTCATCTACTGCTTGGTAATCCTTTCACTATCAAAACACTATATGTGTGTATTTTTATTTTTTTTATATCTTAATGTATAATTTATGTTCAAGTCTGTATCATGCTGCGCTGCACTAAATTTCTAAGCTAATAATATTCTCACTGATGCCAGGAGTAGACAAGCAATGCATTTGAACCATCACATTCTTTGGATTTTTTGCTGAAATCCATTGTGTATCCTTGAAATAGAAAGTCCACAGTCCACAGACTGTTGCAGGTAACTGAGAATCATGGAAGGTCCATTATTTCAAAGTTCTGTTATTATCTGTTCAGACACAGGAAGGCATGCTAGAATGATATACTGTAAATGTGTCCCATTCCCCATACAAAGGGTTTAGTGTGAAATTTCATGTTCCTAACTCTGTGGATTCAAAACTTTTAAAATCAAACCCCTTGTTCCAATATGTTCCACTTCTTTGTTGGTCTCAAGTGTTAGTACACTACCTGCACTCAAATTAAGCCTGGAACTGCCCTGATACATGATAACCTGCATAAAATATTCACACCTCAGCATTGATCCAGCAGCATCTTATGTCACTCACATAGCCAGAGAGGATAAATGAGCTCCACTTCAATACAGGCCAGTATTGGAACCTTTGCTGTCAGCATCAGCTGCACAGGGGACCATTTTAGTGTGACACTTGCCAGAGTGCTATTGAACTCATCTGATTGCATTGTAAGCCTGAGGAAATCTTTCAAGATTTTTGTTTTTATTTATTTATTTATTTTTCTTGGCTTTGAACTAAGCCCTTTTAGCCAGACACTGCGATTGTTAGTCTGTCACTGATAATCTTATGCAAGGTGTTTAGCAACACAAATACGTAAAATACTAACCCCACCACTTACAGAAATCTTATAACCTGAATTGTCTGGCTACTTCAGCACCAAGAGCTCCACAATTTCCGTGATCCTTAAGGTGAAAGGAATTGAATTACACAGACAAACACACATCTGGGGATCTGCTGTAATGGGAAGCCAGTGGATAAATTAGTTTGTGTGTAAGTATGTGTGTGTGTAAGTATCTGTTTAGATAAAATATGCCCTAGTTACTCTCATGCTCATCGCTCCCTCTGTCTCTCTACATGTGTCCTCTTACTTGGGTGAGCAGATAGGTCACGCTTTGCGAAGCTTTTAGGTCGAGCGACATGGGGTGGGGTGTCAGGGCAAAGAAACAGAGACAGGCGAGAGGGATGGTGAGAGAGAGACTGAAGGGGGAAGATGAGGAGAAAGTGTGTGTGTGAGTAAGGGGTTCCATGTTTTTCCACTGTTAATAATTGAAAGGTTGGCAGATAAAAAATGCAGAGGCCATCAGAGAAAGCAGTTTTACTGTGTCCTGTGAGACCTGACCCAAGTGATGGATTAACCACACACCCACCCACACACACCCACACAGGTGTGAAATCACAAGTAATAATTGTTCCTTTTTGCTCTGCTTCCATCTCCTCTGGCCACTCGGAATGTGATCATGTTTCTGGGGTTTTTAACACTTTGTTTAACTATCAGTGTATCATTGACCAGACAGTGTCTTGTTGGTGCCTAGTAGGTCCTACGGAAGCAGTCTGCTGACTTGGGTGTGCATGGCTGCCAGTGGCACTGGGACACTAGTGTTTATTGATGATGTAACACAGGACAGAAGGAGCTGAGTGGATTCTGAAGTGTTCAGAGACAAACTGTCTGCTCAAATCCAGCTAAGTGCAGTCAAATTGATTGGGCAGTGTTTTATAATACAGATGGACAATGACCTAAAATATACGGCCAAAGCATCCCAGGAGTTTATTAAAGCAAAGAAGTGGAAATGTCTTGATTGGCTAGGTCAGTCACCCCATCTCAACCCAACTATGTATTTCACTTGTTGAAGACTAAACTTCTGACAGAAAGCAAAGAAAAGCGTCTGGACTTCTTTAAGTTGCTTGAAGACGTTTCACCTCTCATCCAAGAAGCTTCTTCAGTTCTAAGGTCAAATGGTGGGGAGTCCCAGATA